AGAGAAAGGTGCCCTCTGGCACTGGCTTCCAACAGAGCAATGGGTGCCAGGTTATTTGAGAGGCATCAGGGGTGTGTGGGGAAAACAAGGTAGTGTCCACCCTGAAGAAGCTTATGCAGTAAAAACCAGATGAAGATACAGTGTGGGAACTCAGAGAAGCTCTAAGTCAGCATCTGAGAAGGTTTGAGGAAGAAGTGGCACTTGAGTTGTACCTCACAGAGAAGGGAAATAGTATCCAGGCAGAGAGAACTGCCTGTGTAAAAGTGTGGAGGCACAGGATGTCAGGAGCAGAGCCCCCAGGTACTTAGTTCTTTCTTCCTGACACCAGCACAAGTGATTGTAGGGAAAGAGCAGGAGAGAGAGTGGGCAAAGCAACAGAAGCTAAATCTCAGAGCCATGTGTACCCAGCGAGGCATCTGAGCTTCATCCAGATAGGCTTGGGGAACTGCTGAATCATTCCATCTAGACAGAATCAGATTTTCATTTTCTAAGAGAGCTAGGGATGGATTTGGATTTGGAACCTAGAGAATGAAAAATGTTGATCAGGAGCCTATTGCCAGCTTCCCCTGAGAGAGCATGAGTGGGATAGGAAGAAAGTAAGGACCTGACAAATGCTTGGAGAAGCTGCCTGGGTTCCAAACTCATTGGGGGTGGGCACAAGTAGGGGGGAGACACTGGGGTAACTTTAGATTCTGGCTTGGGGAAGTGGGCAGATTATGGTGCACAAAGAACAGGTTTGATAACAATGAGAATAATATTTATGGAGCCCTTACAGCATGTCAGGCACTAAACACTCACTTCCCCCACACACACACACCCCCAGTACTGGGAGCAAAACCCAGGGGCACTCTAACATTGAGCGGCTTTTTAAAAATAGTGTCTAAATTGCCCAGTCTGGCCTGGAACTGGTGATCCTCCTGCCTCAGCCTCCCAAGTAGCTGGAATTATAGACGTGTGCCACCACACCTGGCAACACTTTACTAACATTTTAAATAAGGTTAAGTTTTTTTAATTCTCACAATAATCTATGAAGTAGGTACTACTGTTATCTGAACCTTAATATAGGGCAAATGAGTAAGGAGTCAGGTTGGGATGATGGGCATATGCCTGAACTTTGCAGAACGAATTGTGCAGAATCTGAAGCCCCTGCGAGATTTTCCCAGGCTGCTCTACCAAAAATGTGTGCTCCCTACCACTAACTCCTCCCTTCTTCCCAGCCTTCAGTATCCAGTGTCCTCTCTTCCCCCACAGTTTCAGTCACTGTCACTGGTCTCCTCTCTCCCTCCCTCACCTACCCCACCTCAGCCAAGGACCTTGTGGAAGCTAAGCCTTGTGACAGGAAGACACAGGGCTCCAGAACCCTGGTACTGAGACCCCACCTTCCCAGTTACAATACAGGATCAAACTGAGACTGCAGGAACAATCAGAAAAACCAAGAAAATGGATGTCTTCCGTTCGTAATTGAAATAAATGAAATAAACCAAAAATAAAAGTTACATTTGGATGACATCAGAGAGAGGGTCATGAAAGGTCTCCCTCAGTACACTCCCTGATTACTTTCTTTCAGAAAAGGGCATGGTCCTAAAGCAAGCATGCATGGCCCTAGAGGAAGCTCCTCCAGCTCCATTTCCCTTTCCGCAGCCTAGGTTCTGGAACACTCAGTCTGACTTCAATAGCCATAGGAGACAACAGGACAGCCACTACATGTGAGCCCCACCCACCTGTTCCCAGTCCCAGCACTGGGGGCAGGGCTGTTCTGGGGTTTCCAAGTTGCCTCTCACCAATCTTGCAGACTGATAGGCTAGGAAGGAAAGGGATGGAGCGAGTAGGTATGCGGGAGAGAGCCAGTGGGTTTTCTCTGGAGAGTTTTAGGCATAGAGAGCCTGGCTTGAACCAGGTTAAATGGACTATCTAAGTTACACAGAGCAAGTGGCCCAGGACATAAGCTGTTTTAGGCAGAATTTAGAATGACCACTTGTTTCCCACCTCCCTTACCACTTTTTTTTTTTTTTTTTAAACCCAAGGGCATTTTGAGACAGGGACTTGCTACATTGCTGGAGGTCTCACTAAATTGTTGAGACTGGCCTTGAACTTATAACCTTTCTGCCTCAGCCTTCAGAGTAGTTAGAATTAGAGACCTGCTCCACCATGCCTGGCCCTCAGCACCTTAAACATAGGAAAAAGGCCCACTAAATCCCAAAGAGCTTTCTGGAATGATGACATATTCCCAGTAATCTAAGGGCAGAGCAGTGAGAAGCCCTGACTTCTGACATCAAGAGGTGGGATATTGTCTGTCTATATTTTGGGGTTCCAGGCTCCAGTAAGCTGCCATTACCTTTGTAGGGTCTAGGGACAGGAGGGCCTTTACGAGGCCTCTCCTTCACTCATCCTTCTTTGCTGGATTCTCTTCACAGGGTTGTGCTTCTGTCTTTGATAGGATTTCTGCCTGTTATATGGGAATCTTTCTTTGGTCTCAGAGCAAGAGGTGCTTGAGGCCATCTCTGCATTGTTCAGGACCTGCCAGAGCCCTACAAACATACAGGAGGCACCACAACATACAAGAGGTGAAAGCAGTGTTGTGCCAGTACTGAGTCACAGCCAAAAAGTGGAGAGATCAATTTAAAGAACACCTTAAAAAATGAAAAAGACTACAATATATGCAATAAAAAATATAAGAATATATGCACATAGCAGGGATAAGTATTGTTCTGTGAAACTTTTCTTTCAGTTATCTCACAATATAAAATGTGTTTTTTGCTATGGGCCACTGAATCCCTGGACAAAAGAACACTGGTTAAGACAGTAAAGTCAAGATGCATAAAGTGAACACATATAGGCTGTTCTGTGTCTGGCACTATGCTAGGCACAAGAGATCCATTAGTAAACAGGATAGCCCGTAATCTCAATGTGCCTTCTAGTTGGGAAGGCAAAAGGCAAACAATTCCAGAAAAGGTGCTAAATGCCCCAAGAGAGTATGTAGGAGGCTATAAATTCCTCCTGTGATAGTGGAATCCGGGGAGGGCTTCCCAGAGGAGGTAGTGTAGAATTCTTAGCAAGACTATGACTAGTTCTAGTACTGCCTCCATATTATAGATAGAAAGAAAACAATGTAAAGTGCCAAGAGTTCAGGTTTAAAAGTCTAAAGACAACTCTAGTCCTGCCTTCTCAACAAGCTGTGTGGCTGTGGATGAGTCGGTTAACCTTTCCAGACAGTTTTTCTTCACCTTCAAAATTGGCATGATATTTGCTCTGTTATCTCAGGGAAGAGAGAGATCAAATCAAGTAGAAAATGTACATGAAAGTATGTTGTAAGCTATAAAAAGGGATGGATTGTATGTCTATATGTATGAAGAAGGAGAAGCAGAAAAGTGAAGAGACCTACTCAACATTATTGATAATGGGGTAGCAGGTCCCCCTCAGTCCTCAGTCCTCCACTCTTATCTATACAGTCCCCGCTCTAACTGAACTGACCTTGCAAGAGAGCAGAGGCAGGGTCCAAAAAAGCCTCCTGGCAACCTGACTACTGAAGATTACCTTAAGGATCCTATTGTTTTAAACGGTGGGAGGTAAATATGTCATAACTCCTCCATTTTCCCTTCTGTTAATGAATTAGAATCTACCCAAACTCAGTGTTTAAAGTTACATAAGCATCATTCAGATCTTCTGTAACAGCCACTTTCATTTTGGAAAAGCAGCATTTCCATTAAAATGGTGTTATATAAAAAGGTTTTGTGTATGTGCTCAGGAACAGCAGGAACAGGCAAGCATGAGCACTGTTAAGGCACACAGGCACATACATATTATGACAATGTCAAATTAAGTTTTGACTACCATGGCAAATTAAGTTTTGACTACTTGTCCTCTGACCACTAGTAAGACCCTATGCATGTTGGGCAATAAGAACTTCAGCATGAAAGTCATCAAACATACCCAATTCCCAGAGAATAGAGAAGTTCCAACTCTTCTGGAAGCCCCTTAACTGGCAGGATGAGTTCCACTGAATTAGGCACATTAGGGCTTGAAGTAGGTCAGAAGTCACTCATTGTAAGCTTACTCTATCCCAGACTTGCCCACCTTGAACAGCTAGCTCCCTTCCTTCCAAGACAGTCCATGTCACCTGTGGAGAGATGTAGGTAACTGAAAAAGACCTGATATTGAGCTGAAACCTGCCTTTTTGGAGCTACCACCTCTTGGAGACCAATGGAAATCCCTTGCTACAATCTTAGGCAAGGATCTCCTGAGAGTTTAAAGTCCAAGAGAGTGCCCTAGGAGGGTATCCTGGGGTCTGAAAAGCAAGGAGATTGGGCAGCCTGAGCCCACAGGGTTGAAGCTCCTCCTTTAAGAGACCTCTATTCAGCTGAGGATAAGGCAATTGGGAAGGGGAATAGATTGGGAGGATGGGGTGCCTGAATAGGAATAAGTGAATGGCTGAGTAAAGCCCTGCACTTCAGGTCTCATTTTAAATGTGGAGGTCACACAGTCCTAAGGCCAGTTCCAGCTATGACACTCTAGAGTACTAGGTCCTCACCTGCTCCCCATCCCTTTCGGAATTTGATGGTTGTACTCTTTTGTGTGAATCAGTGGGTACTAAGCAGGGCTAAGCAGGAAGTAGGTTAACTGCTCCAGACCTCTGCCACCATAGCCATCCCAGGTTAGGCTTCTCGTCTAGCCCTTCTTCTTCTTGAGAGAACAGCAGTGACAACAACACCCCAGCACCTAGCAGGGAAACGTGAGCTTTGGAGTGGCCTTTTAAGTAGTTGGCAAGGGGGTGTGGCCGAGGAGACTGGGAGGCCGCTGCCGGGAGAGGGGGGAGTGGCCCGGGGGCGTGGCCGTAGCGATTGGAATGTTGTTGGGTCTTCGCACCGCATAGTAAAGAGGGGCCACGCCCCTTTTCTCCGAGAGGACCAATCGGAACGCCGGAGCGGTTTCAAGTCTCCCCCGCCAGCCTGCCCGCCCGCCACCCCACCCCCCTCGGGGATTCGCTTTTTCGGTAACAAAATAGCAAAGCTCCGGACCGTCTGCAGTCCAGGCCGCTTACAGGTGGAGGGTCCCCGGGCCTAGGACTCTGGCCTGGAGTGGGAAGCGCCGGCAGGCCGTGGAGAGACCGGGTCAAGATCCGGGAGTCGCGCGGGGGTGGGCGCTGCAGCCGCGGGTTGTTTATCTGGAGTACGGAGGGGAGGGGGGAGCCTGGAAACCGCCCCGTGTCCCATTTCCTCCTCTTGTTTTCGCTCCGGATTCTCCATGTTGGACCCAAACTGAGGAGCCCGGAGCTGCCACCGGGGGATCGGGGCCGGGGGCACCCGGGGGAGCCACTGCCCGGGCCGCCCGCCCTCGGTACAGGCCTCCTCCCTTCCCGGCCCGGGGAGGAAACGAGAGGGGGGATGTGAACAGCTGTGGGAGTCGGAGTCTCGGGAGCCGGAGCGGGCCCCCGCCCAGGCCCCCCAGCCCTGCCCAGCCTGCGCGCCCGCCGGTCCTCCCGCCCAGCCAGCCCGGGCCCGCGGAATTGTTAGATGGAACACGGCTCCATCATCACCCAGGCGCGGAGGGAAGACGCCCTGGTGCTCACCAAGCAAGGTAGGGGTAGCAACTTCCCAAAACTTTGAGTCGCCCCCGGGCGGGGAGGGGGCTAGCACATCCCGGAATCCGCGTCTCGGCCCCTGACCTCTTGGGGCTCAGGACGGGTGATTCCAACCTGACACCCGGGTTCATCTGCCCCCGCGTCCTGGTCCGCACTCATACCGGGTGGGGGCCACGCAGGGCCCGAGCTCCCCGCACCCAAGGGGGAGGGGTGTCATCGCGCAGCTGTCACCGCGTCCTGCAGCCCTCCCCCTGGGGCAGAGACGGAGAGGTAGAGCTCCAAGCTCTAGCCCACCACGTCCGCCCCCTCCAGAGTTGAGGCGGAGGAGGGGGGCGGGTAGTCACTTTCCTGCAGCGCTGCGCGCAGCTGCCCCAGCACCAAAGGAAAGGGTGAGGAGGGATAGAGGGGTCCCAAGCTGGAATGGAGCTGGCACTCTAGTTCATCACTTTCCAGGTCCCCCAAGCTTTAGGTCGCTCGGACAGCAGGCGTTGACTGCGTCCGGTGGGACTTGGGACCAAGTTCACCGTCTGGAGGCGGGGGCGGCCGTGATGGGGGAGGGGCCCGGGCCCTGGTGGACCAGACTTAGCCAGCTCACGGCTCGCGCCGGGCCCGGGACCAAGGTGGCCCAGGGCTCTTGCACGGCTGCCCCCTCCGGTTTTGCTGAGCAAACAAGCCCGACCCGAGGCCCGGCCGAAGCCCCTCCCTGCCCCGGTGCGCTCCCCCGGGGCCGCCGCTGCACACACAGAGCCGCGTTTGTTTAGCCCGGGAGCGGTGTCCCTGGTTACATAATTCGCCGGATGGCATCAGACCCGGCGTGTTTCTGAATCGCGCAGCGAAAAAGTGCGAGTTCTCTGTGGGCTCTCTACCTTTGCCTTCCTGAGGGTCAAGTGGAGAAGCAAGGGGGATTTTGGGGGGTGGGCTTGGGGACGCGAGCAGAGTGAGGCCTCGTCGGCCTTTTGCGGGGGCGAGGTGAGGGTTGGGACGCGAGGATGGACTAGCTGTTTGGTCACATTGAGAGTCCTGAAACTCTCCCCTTCCCCCCATGTTGTTCTGGCCTCGAGGAATGTGTCCAAAATAATGGGCAGAATTTCCGTGGGGAGTAAGGATTAGTGTCGCCTTTTTCTGGAGAACTCCAAGGACTGGGGCCACCTGGCCCTGAGAATGAGGAGAGAGCACGCTCTAGGGACCTGATCGGAGCATTCCTGCCCTCCAACCCCCCTCCAACAGGGCATGAAGGACCCGTGCTAAAATGAGGCCTAGAGGCTGGTGGGCAGCCAGGTGCAGGGCCTTGGTGGTGTCGCTCCACATCCCTGTTTGGCAATGGTTATCAGCAGTTCACCTATTCTCGGGGTTCGTGTTCCCATGGAGCTCCCCCCAACTTGCCTAAAGGCAGAGCAGCTGGGATGGTGTGTCAGCCTCTTGGAATTCCCTTAGTGGAGGGGGAGGGGCACTGTTTGCTTCTCGCCTCTCTGGCCCTTTAAATAAGCCTATCCCGAGAAAGAACGGAGCCTTGCCTACTCGGATCCCCAACCCCAAGAAGGCCCCTGCCTCCCTGACCTTGGCGTTGCCAGGATCCCTGCTCTCCTGGATGTATCACAGATCTGGCTGTGTGACCCAGACAGCAAATTCACCATTTCTGCTGGCTGCTCTGCTGTGCTGAGCCTACAAGGGGAGGCTTCCTGTGTTTATAATTCACTGCCAGACTCTTCCCACTCTCCCCAGCTTCGTCCCCAGGAAAGGACCCTAAGCACTAGCCAGCAGTGAAGAAAGCTGGATGTGGAAGGATACAAAATGGGGCTGTGGTGAGAAGCCAGGAAGAACAACCCTGTGCTTCCTCCTTGATCCTTCTCTCCTGCGCGCCCTGGATGGTGGGGCCACACCAAGAGGAGGGAAAGCTGAACTGTGAAGTGGGATCTTACAAAGCAGAGCTGGAAGTTTCATCCACCAGGGCAAGTGGCAGGCCAGATAACAGCAGAAAGCAAAGCAGCTGGCTCCTTGACAGTGTCAAGTTGCTGGTGTTGGTTGGATTTTCTTAGAGTTACGTATTTGTTTTCTTTGTGTGTGTGTGGTTTGTCCTTCAGACTTATCCCTGGAAGAATCTGAATTCTGAAGCCAACAATGGGTCTCACCCTCCCCTCCCAATGAAATTTGACTGCATTCCAGAGAAGGCATACCTCTTTTCTGAACTGCTTGGGCACCCAGAAACCACCAAGCCAACTTTTTTGAGTCCCACATCATTTACAAACAGTACTGCATCTTAAAACCAAAACTAGGCTGAGGGGGCAAATGTTTTAATTAGCTCCTTGAAGAGTTCCTACCCTCCTCCCTCTCCCCCATATCCCATCCCCAAGCCCTGCTTAGAAGGAGTGTGAGGCAGTTTATTAAGTAAATTTCTGGAAAGAAACAAATTGCTCTTAGCTTGAGTAGCTTTTTAGTGAAGTTGTTTTCCATTGCAGTTTTTTTCCCCCTTCATTTTTAGCATTCTCCTCTCTGAGCTTTAAGGCTGTCTGGGTGTGTTGATGATTCAAAAGTAATTACAGTAGGGGAAGTAGAACAAAGTTGCTGAAAGCTTCGATGATAAAAGCACCAAAATTGGATCATCTTCCCAGACAGATGGATGAAATGGCTTCCTGGTACAGCAAGGACAGGATTGTGTGTAACATCAAAAATAAAAGAGAAAAGTTAATATCAGTTTGGCAAGAATGGCCACTTATTGCAGCCCCATAGGAGTGTGTCACCCCCTTACTGGGAGGTTGTGCTGTAGGTTTTGTGCTTTGATGGGGAAAAGCCAAGGGATTGGGGCCCATGCTGTGACCTACCAGTGTGAAATAAAAGGTAGGCAGCCTCTTCCCCAGCTCGGTGACCTGCAGCCCTAGGGAGGGGGGTGGAGTCAGAGATACTTTCTTGTGGGAGAGACCTGATGATGCCCCTTCCCAGGGAGGGATGATGAACCTTTGGATTCTCACATGTGAAACTAGGCATGTTCTGATAGATAATGGTAAGACTTCCTCTCAGACTCTCTGACATCCCTAAAAATTAGATGGCAGCAAGTGTTTTCTAGCTCCTGCTTTCTCCACAGAAGGGAGAAATTCTGCCTTATTCACTCAAGAAACTGTCCAAACACCTTTTGCTATAGAGGTAGCTAAGCCCTTAATTTGGAAAGCCGAAAAAGAAGTCTTGCTGGCCCTTCTTCCTCAGCTGGCTCTGTGGGTGGGGTGCTCCTTGGCTGAGCTGCAGGGCCAGGGTGTATGCTTATGCTTTCTCCTCTCTCCAGTCCAGCCTTGGTCTTTTCTAAAGACCAGAGGCCACTGAGGCTTACCCCTGTTTCTCCTTTGGAGCTTTTTCTCCACTTTGGTGGGGCCTTTGTGGCTATTTCAGCTTGTGTCTGCTGAGTTAGGAGAGTGTTCCTAACTCAGCAACAAAGTTTATAAGTTTGTAAATGCTCAACATTCAAAGCAGGAGCTTCCCAGGTAATTTAGAGTCACTGAGCAGGACTTGGGAATTTCTGTGAAAAATTCCTCAGGGGGTTGGCAGAGGTGGTGGTATTCCTGTCTCCTCCCTCTGAGCTAGAGACAACTTGAGAAAAGTTAAAAAAAAAAAAAAAAATGAAGTGGTTGTTTCTTTTTTGTGGACCTCCCAAATACTTTAGTGTGGATTTGTTAAAATGGTACATACTATAGAAGTCACATTCCTAGCCCAGGTGGAATCCATGTTCCCAACCTCTCTGTGGAGAATTAATAGAAATGCTCTTAAATATGGGAAAGACAATATACAAATATACAGGCATTGTGTGTGTGTGTGTGTACACAGTTTCTCTTCACTTTTCTTCCTCAACTCTCTTCCTCCTAGCTTTTGGGTAATTGTTTCTTATTTACACCTTGGGAAGTTTGAGTCTTGGATTGGGCAAAATGGTATCAAGGTAATGTGCAGAGGCAATTAAAAAAATGTTCACTGTTATTGGGAATAATTGTCCCAGTTGGTTCAGGCCTGGGTTCAAATACTGTTCTACCTATTCACAGTGAGATTTGACAAATTACTTTAGTATTCCAAGCAACTTATCTGTAAAATAGGAATAATAATATCTACCTTTCTATAATGCCAGCACTTAGTAAATGATTAATAAATGTTAATGCCCTTTTTTTAATGTAGCTAGACTGCCACACTATTCTCCTTCCATTCCAAGGACACATAGGTTGAACAGCAGTCAAACAGGGGGGTTTGGGCCTTCTGGAAGAATCAACCTCTAAGGCTTACACATAGCCTTCCTGCACAGACCCCTTCTTTATACCACTGTGACTCGGAATGGGATTTTATCTGCACGTGCCTTGAGTAGCACTTATACCTTGGAGCTTCAGCCATTCTGTCTGGTGCCTGGGCATCTGGGAGGAGGCCAGGGAGTAATATGCCTCATATAAGTCTCTGAAGTCTTAACTAAACCTTCATGGCAGTTGTGGGACCTCCCAAAGATGGCTATAACAATACTCAAGAGGACAATGTGCCACATTCTCTTACAGTTTGCATTTGCTTTGAGAGTTAATGAGCTCTGAGAAATTCAGATTATTTTAAGGAATCTTAATAACAAGATGGGAAAAGAAACAGGTTTTGAAGAGAAATAGATATTCTTAAACTATGCCTTCGCAGCCTTGGTTTGGAGGTAGAACATTGAGAGAGCACAAAGTAGCATTAAATTGCTTTTCATTCTGTCTCAGCCTGGCCAGATCTGGGAAGCTTGGAAATTAATTCACTTGTGGGGGGTGGGTAAATATGGGGTGTGGCTCTGACATAATTCTTTCCCTCTTCTGAAGTGGGGATAGTTCCCAATTGGGACACAGATGAGCATGTTAACATGCAAATCTTATGAAAGAACTAGTAGATTTCTTAGAACTGGAAGCCTCTCTGGACCAGAAATCAACTAAAATGCAGTTTCTTTGTCAGCAAAGTGCCTAACCCTTAAGGTCTGGATGTGCCTGCACCAGGATCTGTTACTGCACAATGA